ATCCAAGCTATGTATAAATGCAGATTGAAAAGAGGCATGCTATGAGTCGACATTTTACAATTTTTGTAGTAAAATAACAATATTGCGTATAAACGTGTTTTCCTAATGCTAGAGTGACCTACTAAAATATTTAGGTGTTCTTCTCCTACCCAGTTTGTGATAAAACACTGACGTTTTACTCACATTATAGCCCATAATGCAAGTCTTCACGCTGCCAGTCTCATTTCCTTGGTCAAGAACATCAATCTTGATGTTCTGAGACAATTGAATGCTTCGCCATAGGGAAGCCTTAGAAGGATAGTGTGCATGCGCAGCAAGTCGCCACACTGTGCTAATCAAATACTTTCTACGGGTCTAAATCTGTTCATACAGGGGAAGCGCCTCTAGTGGTAGCAAGCAGGACAGACGCTAGTTCAGCAGTTCCCCTAACCTTCCCCTCTCCCCCCTTTGGACCAGGAGGGATATCCCAGTCTCCACTGGACTCTCTGCCCCACACTTGCCCTGCACTTGTCCTCCACAGGCACCCAGGTGCACACCTATACCTCCTCTCTACCACCTGTGGGGATCGGTTGACCCGGACATAGACTGCTACCAAGGTGCATGCAAGCTGCTGGCGGACGCCATACGCTTCATATTTCCTAACATCTGCTAAGTTTTTGATAGCACACACCACATTCCCACCTCCTTCTACTCACACATACTGCTCCTCTCATATAGTGCAGGGCCTTGTGGATGTTTGTGATTCCAGTGGATAACTCCTGTTGTAGTTTACTAGTCTTAATTCCTCATAATTACACTCTCACCCTCATGTCTGCATATTTCTGTTACTTTAAAAGCTTGCAACGCCAACTGGACCCAGACATGTATGTTAAGCCTGTAATTTACCATTTATTGTTTTTTAAACTATCCAAAAAGGTGCAGCCCTCTCTTGACATTTCATACTGTTGTCGCATCCATGTTGTCATAATTCATCTTATGAAAAGTTTTTGCTTACCAGAATGTCAAACTATGCACCACAAAAATAAAGAATAAAAAAAAAAAACATCTGCAGTGCCAAGATTCGCCATCACTGTTTTACAACCATATTAAGACACATCAAGCAGATGTCAATTATTCCGTACGAACTACAAACCTACAGTTCTCCTTGGTTTTATTCAGAATACCAATAAGAACAATTAACACACTGCGTTTAAAGTAGGTCTGCTTTAATAACCATATCTCAAAAAATAGAATGTTTAATAAACTACAGTTCAGCAGGTCCAATCAAAATAAATACAGTATCTCATTCACGCAAGAGCAATGGCTAAGGCCTTCAGGGTCCAAAAAGGTTTTTCTTTTTGTGTTTCACACTTAGAACTTCTTAGGAAAATTGCCAGTCCCTGGTCCTTGGTTGAGGTGTCAAGAGAAGAAGGGTACAATGATCCACATCTGATGGGATTGCCCTGTAAGTGAGCTCTTCTTGTACATGGTAGGCAATGTCATTAAAGAGGCCACAGGTCACAGCCCACCCCAACTTTCCAAAAGAGGAAATATTCCTACTTTTTAAGTTACAAACGAAATGCCAAGGGATCATAAACTCCTCACCTTGCACATTTTGATCACTGCGAGCCTAGCTATAGCTAAAGCATAGCATTCCGCAGTAGCTCCTACTAAAAAAAGAGGTGTTCGTTCAGGTCTCAATTAATGAAGTGTACGAGACAATGGCACACAAAAGTTCTGAGAGTGGATATCAATGTATGATGTAAGCCTGGGACAATGGGATATTAATCAACATGACCAAAACTAAACAGTTGATCTGATAATCATTACACATAACAAAATAAGTACACCTGATAAGTGTTCCTTTTTCTCTACTGTAAAAGTTACATTGTGGGTTTAGGAACACTTAATGCTGGCTTTCACAACTTTAGACATTAACAACACATTTGGCAAAAACTAATATCTTATCAATCTAAATGATCTAAAACAACAGAATAATATCATCTGCAGTAAAATTATTTCCTTTCCCCTTTTCCACATCCCATATTGCTCATTTTGGTCAATATTTAATGTATTTTTTTTTCTCTCGTCTGTTAGATTTTAAAATTTTAGAAAGAAAGAAAAAACACAAACAAAAAAAAAAAACAAGATCTGCCAGCTGAAGTATTTACTCACATGTTTCCCTCTGCACTGAGACCACTGTCAGAACCTCCATCATCCTCTTGGGATTGAGACCTGGAGGAACCTGGTGTCCTAATTAGAAAGAAAAGTACGGTCCCCACCAAGCTGATCACTGTTAGTGCTATGAATACCGTTCTACGATCCGTTTCTAAAAGAGAGAGGGGAAGTACTCGGTTAGCCATGGATTAACAATGTGGGAGCAGAGAGTGATGGCGAAGGAGTGTGTCGGTGTCTCTCTCTTTCAAGGTCTGGAAAATCTATGGGACTTTTGATGCTTTGTATGGTACAATTCTCACTAAGTCCAGCCATTCCCTTGTGAGTTGCCCTTGGCAGCTCCTTGAGTGCTGGAGGTGTCTATAAACCTAAATATAGAATTATTACAGTGCGGGGTCTTCATTTATGGCATTGCCAACTTAATATTTTGAGAACGGCAGTCAATGTGTATAAAGCAGCTGCGCCATCAATTTATTTTATCCATCACAAGGATAAAATAAATTTGTGGCGCATTAAAGGGACACTCAAGGCTAGGGATCTAAAGCACTGGCCTCCCAGATGTTGAGGTCATACTCCCAGAATTCTCTGAATGCAACACATGGATAGAGAATCATGGTTCATTGACATCTGGGAGGTCAGAGTTTGAGATGCCTGCTCTAGGCATTATACAAATTGGATACAGCATCTTATATAGTCTCCTGGCGCTGTTTCTCCATTTACAGTTAAAAACAAATACTGAGCAGTTTAGGTTTCCTGCCTGACCATAACCCAGCCCACACTTTAGGTATGGCTAAGGCAGAGTTGTTTAGGAATACAAACAATGGACAGAGTCGATAGGCTGAAAGTAGCAAGCTGACTCTCAGCAAATCACCTCTGTCCACTGCTTATCAGAGTTTTCTCACAGCTAGATACCCTTGTTAATCATTAAAAACGGCTAAACACAAACACTTAACACAAGGATGTTAACGGTGGATTGTAGACACTGTAATTATTTCAGATTTGAGATTAAGCAGTGACCGTGCCTAGGGTGTTTCTTTAAAGAGGAACAATTATTTCTTAGCATTTTTAATATTTGTTATCCCGGCATTTAAAGGGAGATTATAGTCACCAAAAACACTACAGCAGTATGTCAAACTTGCGGCCCAAAGGCCGCATTCGGCCCACAATGGATATATTTGCAACCCACTTTGTGTTGTGGCTGCAACCAGCCCCAAGAGAGGAAAGACATTTCCTGTCTGATTCCGGTCTTCCCTCCCACGGCAGATGGTGTGCTCCCACAGGCCAGCCACTCCTCCTTCCCTCCTGCTTGCAGTGCCAGAGGAGCATCTGGCCTTCTTGAGAAGAGCAGGGCTGAAAGTGGAGGATGGGCGGCTCATCTTAAGGTAGTTATTAATTTTAGAGAGGGGGCCAATGTATTAATTTGGGGGAGGGGGGCAATGCATTATTTTGGGGGAGGGAGGAGGCAGTATATTAAATTGGGGGAGGGAGTGGAGCAGTGTATTAGAGTGATGGGAGGGGGGCCAGTGTGTTAAATTGGGGGGAGGGCAATGTATTAATTTGGGGAAGAGAGGGGGACAGTGTATTAGTGTGGTGGGAGGGGTAGTGTGTTAAATTGGTGCGAGGGCAGTGTATTAAGTTGGGGGAGGAGGGACAGTGCATTTAATTAGAGTGGAGGGAGGAGGGGCAGTGTATTAGAGTGGAGGGAGAGGGGGCAGTGTATTGGATTTGGGGGCAATATATCGGATTTCTGGGCAGTGTATTAGAATGGGGGGAGAGGGCATTGCAATAGATTGGATCTGCATGGAGGCGCTGAATGCTCCCCATGCTGATTGGCCGTGCCGTGCACATATGCACAATAGCCTCCCAATGCTTTCCTATGGAAAAGCATTGGCTGAGATCATCAACACACTCATAAGATTTCAAAATCAACAAGATAATGTAATTTGTTTTTTTACAGCTGTGCAACAGCATACATTCACCATTTCAGTCCCATTACCAAACTTTTCTTAATATGTCAAGGAAGTTTAACTGAAAGTTTGTTATATGCAAATGCACGTCTCCTTAAAATCAATTTGTTCTTTTGTTTACTTTGAAGCCCTACGAGCGTGAGGATTTCTATGAAATCTTAAGATTTAGTTTTTTTGTGGCCCACATACACTTAAACCTTGTTTACTTGGCCCGTGTTAGCATTTGAGTTTGACATGCTTGCACTACAGCTTAATGTATTTGTTCTGGTTAGCATATTCATTCCCTTCAGACTTTTTGCAGTAAGCCTTGTCTTTTCAGAGAAAAGGCAATGTTTACATTACAGTCTAGAGACAAATCCAGTGGCCACTCCAATAGATCCTTCCGTTTTTTTTGCAATATGAATGTACTTTTCCATACATAATGGATAGGTAAGATTTCCATAAGTGTTCATAAAAATATATTCTTTGTGAACCATCTTGAATTTCAATCATTTTCTAGAATATAAATGTTTATTATGATCAAATTGAGTTTATCGTATACATACCAGATATGACAACCTCCCCTTTCCAGGCCACATAAATGTAGAGATTTCCAAACAGCATACTGTGAGAGAGAAATTAAACAGTTATAATTTCATCTTTTTTTCTGTTTGTGTAGCGTGTTTTTATTTGTAATCAACTATTTAAAATCCAACCTGAACTGCAAGAGTGCCCAGAATATACCACTGTTTCTACCAATGGTTTCTTCGTTAGAATTCACAGTTAGGCAGGCTCCTTGAGCAGTCCATAGTACTGAAAGTAAATAGGAGAGCATGTCAAAATGGCAGCCTAAAGTTTGAATTATAGTTCCTAATAAGCAACATGAAATGGACACTATAGTCACCAAAATAACTTTAGCTTAATGAAGCAGTTTTGGTATATGGAAATCTGGCCTCTTAAGTTTCACTGCCATTTAGGAGTTAAATCACTTTTGTTTCTGTTTAAGCAGCCCTAGCCATACCTCCCCTGGCTGTGACTGACACAGCCTGCATGAAGTCAAAGTGGTTTCATTTTCAATCAGATCTAACTTACTTTAAAAGTTTTTCATCTCCTGCTTTACAAATTGAACTTTAATTACACTCGGGAGGTTCCTACACAGCGTCTAGCAAGCTATTAAAGGGCAGGAGATAGGAAATTTTAAATTAAAAATAATTTGTAGTAAATTAAGTGTAAACATTAGATGTCTCTTTACAGGAAGTATTTAGGAAAGCAGTGTAAGTCACATGTGGGGGAGGGGTGACTAGGGCTGCATAAACAAAGTGATTTAACTCTTGATGGCAGAAAATTGAGCAGGGAGACTGCAGTGGCATAATCTATACACCAAAACGGCTTCATTAAGCTAAAGTTGTTATGGTGAGTATAGTGTCCCTTTAATTTACAGGATTATTCACTAAAGTGAGATTTGTCAGGAATTTAAAATACATTTCAAATATTGCCAAATAGTGAAAAATGAAGCATAGCTGACTTGGAGAATTTTCCCATTTCCAATTCACTTTGAATTCCTGAAAATTCTCACTTTGGTGAACAACATATTGTATGAGTTGAATATTATCATGGAAGGGAATCTGGGGATTTTAAGGCACATTTACATATAAAAGCGTTTGCATTTCAATAAATTGTGGGTAAAGAATAGCTAAAAAGGCATTTAAAATAAGAAAAAAAAAAAATCCACCACCAAATACAGTGTAAATGTGCATGAATTATGTAAATGTTTCCTTACAATACACTATATATTGGGTGTGGGTACACTCCAGTTAACATATAAAAAAAGGTCTGGTACTTCACAATTTTACATATTAATTGGCATGACACAGAGGACTGCTGGTTGAACATCAGTTAGTAGAGCATTTGTCTTACTTAGCGTATATAATACAATTCTACCTAAACTCCCATTATTACAATGCAAATAAGAATTGTAAACTGAGTCAGTTTTTATGTGAAAAGAGGCAGAAAAGGATATTTTAAAGTATTTTAATCTTGATGGCTCCAAGTCATCAGGTACACAACATATTATATTTTGATAAAATTTGATTAAAGAATAATCAAAACGGTTTCTCTGTTCATTTATTTATTTTTTTGGCAAAAACACTTGCACTTGTATACTGCCCTGTTTCTCGTGTTATTTTCGTTATAAAACATCTAGTGCTCTGCAGTACTTCACAGCTATATCATAGATCTGCGTAATACAAACATTCTATAAAACATGAGAACATTACAGTTTTCCCTTAAAGAGGACAGTTTTATCAAATTCAAGCCAATTTTATATTTTAAAAATATACAGAGAGAGTATAAAATAGGGGCATAAATTCTCAGGATGAAAATATAATGTTGCCTCTTTATAAATCGCTGGTAAGATCACACCTTGAATATGCTGTGCAATTTTGGGCGCCTGTTCTAAAGAAGGATATCATGGCACTAGAAAAAGTGCAGAGACGAGCTACAAAATTGATAAAAGGAATGGCGCATTTTAGTTATGAGGAAAGGTTAAAAAATGTTAATCTCTTTAGTTCGGAAAAACGGCGCCTCAGAGGGGATATGATAAGATTATAGAAATATAGTCGGGGCCAATACAAACCATTATCTGGAAATCTATTCATAAACAGGGCTATCATAGGACACGAGGTCACGCATTTAGGCTGGAAGAAAGGAGATTTAATCGAAGGCAAAGAAAAGGTTTTTTTATAGCAAGAACTAGAAGGATGTGGAATTCTCTGCCTGAAGAGGTGGTGTTATCAGAGTCATAGAAACATAGATAGAAACATAGAATGTGAGAGCAGATAAGAACCATTTGGCCCATCTAGTCTGCCAAATATTTTGAAATACTTTTAAATAGTTCCTGGCCTTATCGTATAGCTAGGATAGCCTTATGCCTATCCCACGCATGCTTAAGCTCTCTCACTGTGTTAACCTCTACCACTTCAGCTGGAAGGCTATTCAATGCATCCACTACCCTCTCAGTAAAGTAATACTTCCTGATATTTTTAAACCTTTGTCCCTCTAATCTAAGACTATGCCCTCTTGTTGTGGTAGTTTTTCTTCTTTTACATATAGTCTCCTCCTTTACTGTGTTGATTCCATTTATGTATTTAAAATGTTTCTATCATATCCCCCCTGTCTCGTCTTTGCTCCAAGCTATACATGTTAAGATCCTTTAACCTTTCCTTGTAAGCTTTACCCTGCAATCCATGAACCAGCTTAGTAGCCCATCTCTGAACTCTTTCTAGTCCATACAGATGTTTAAACAATTGGATAAATACTTGCAAAAACATAAGGGATATAATTTCTAATTAGTGGGGTAACAGCTGCTTGATCCAAGGAGACATCTGACTGCCATTTTGGGGTCGAGATGGAATTTTTTCCTAGTTTGTTGCAAAATTGGAAGTCATTCAGACTGGGTTTTTTGCTTTCTTTTGGATCAACAGCAAAAACATATGTGAGGAAGGCTGAACTTGATGGACGCAAGTCTCTTTTCAGCTATGTAACTCTTTTCAGCTATGATGGGCGCAAGTCTCTTTTCAGCTATAATTGGGATCATGATTTAAAAAAAAAAAATTTTGCTGCAAAGGAGTCTTTTTTTTATAGCAGTGTGCAGAGTGGCTCAAATCAGAGTCAACTTCTGTCTCCCAATGTGTCAACCTAAGATTGCATGTATAGTGATCGAGCAACAGTAGCCCAGACAGTCTTAGTTAAGCTATGGGGTAGAAAAACTGTCCAGTCACGATCACTGGAGACTGAATAAACTGAGACAGATTGCATTTCACAATCTGTCTATCACACAGACTGTATTATTCCTTCCCCAATCCTGCATCCCCCCATATCCGCATCCCAAACAAAGAATCATTATTTACAGCACCTGAAAGGAAGCCTGGAGTCAGGACTTAGTCAGAGGTGCATCCCAGGCTAGCACCCCCAAACAAAGAGTATTTTATTTTTTTAAAGCATGACGTTTCCTACCGTACATTTCCTCTTATCATCCACTCCTACTGTTCTTCACTTTATACTTTACAATTCTCAATCTGTGTGAAGTCACCAATAATTACCAAGTGCATGGTTAATAAAAAGTAGAGGACCAATTATTACACACTAGAACAGTGGTGCCCACATGGTAGATCCCCAGATGTTTTAGAACTACAACTACTGTTATGCTTTGAAACGCCTTTAGAAAATTGGGTAGACTAGATGGGCCGAATGGTTCTTATCTGCCGTCACATTCTATGTTTCTATCATGGAAGCTGTAGTATAAAGACATCTGGGAATCTACCTTTTGGGAACCCCTGCACTGGAAGAAAGTCAATACTATCAAAAGCATGAACAACTGAAGACATCTCACCAGCAGCAGCAATTCCAATAATAACAGATAATGTATAAAATGACCAGGTGAAGGGCTGGATAAACATAGCGATGTAGGCACTGGGAAAAAAAGAACAACCAGCAATTAAATAAAGCAGTGAATGATATGCTTTGATATGTGTGTGCATAGAATATATATTTATTTTAACAGCCGCTTTTGAAATGTGTTGATAGTTGACTTTTTGTTTTGTTACATGCATATTCAAGAAAAGTTATAGGAGAAAAAAAAATAAAAAAAAAATAAGAATTAACCTTGCTCAGCACTTTAATAAGGATATAAAATGAAAACTAAAACAAACACTAATAAATTATAGGTATATCCCTAACCAAAATCTAAAAGGTTCACCAAATTTTCTATCTGAGTCACTTAACATTAATCATGTTAATTGTATTGGTTCCAAATTACCTAAAAATCCTCACAGATACTTCCTGGATGAAATAACAATAGAATAAGATAGTAACAATCGTTCTGTCCTTTGAAACATTTCTCATTAAAAGCAGTATTATGATAGACAATTGTGCTGTATTCAGCTGCTACCATTTGCATGGCTCTCTCTTTTGTATTGATAGGTCACTACTAATCAAATAGACAACAGTATTCAATTAAAAGGCTTTATTGAGCTATGTGAGACTCCTTGTTTTCATCAACTGAGAGTACTATTGAAAATCAAAGTACACTTGGCAAAAGAAGTCAAACAAACAGATGTTACCATACCTGTAAATCAAGCCACTCAGGAACATGGAAAGTTGAGAACCAATAATAGCTACCACAGATGGAGCTATTAGGTTGGAGGCTGAAAATACACCATATATAATGGCCAAGCTGAAAAATAAAGAAAAGAAAACACCAACAGAATAGTATAAATAGAACTATTCACACATATAAAAAGGCAATGTACTCTGCATGATTGTGAGAGCAATGTTATGGTTTTAAAATTGTCCTAAAATAGTATTTATCGCACGAAATATCTCCAACAAGATTAAAAACGGAAAGTTAAGACTTGGAGGTAAAACCATTTAAAGAGTATAAAGACCCACGTGATATCAAAGGAGCACTCTAGAGCTCTATATTTTTGCTAGTTTTAGGAGTGTAGCCCTAGTTGGAAGCATTTTAACCTGTTAAAGCAATATCATTTAATGTTTTAATTCCTAGAACTGAGCTGTAGCCCATGTTGCTTTTTTGTGGTACATTTGTTATAAAGAGACCAACCATAACGAAATTCGGCAAGTAGAGTATTTGTGTAATATTATCAGTGCAGGCTCGAGTTTGTGGGATATTGCATAGTTTTGGGAAACCATTTTAGAGAGAATTGTTGGAGATTACACATGTTCAAAGTTTTTTTACAAGAATTTTTTTCATTTTACTTTTTTTTACCTCAAATGAGTTTTATTTTGATTTGTAAGAAGACAACCTTATATTGATCTAGGTTACACTTTTTCTGCATCTGAAAAATATCTACACTAGATAAAACATGCAGCGTTATTCACTAAAGCAAGAATTGGAAATTCAAGATGAATTTGTGAAGGGGGGGGTAGGGGGTAAAGGGGGATTTTGCAGTTTTTTCCCCCCACATATTCCATATACAAAAATTTACACTTTACCATCAACATTGTTAATTACATAATGAATCACATGCGATGGAAGCAATAAAAAAAAAATGAATTGGAAGTTAAAAACAAACAAATTTAAAATACCTTGTATAGCCACTTCCATTGAATTCAGTGCTATTTAAACTTGAAATGACAGTTTGCTAAAAAAAGGAAAGAAAAAGAGCAAGAGTTTTATTATATAACATATAGTGCTCATAAGGTATAATCATATTCTAGCTGTACCACGATAACAGTCTTGCTCTATAACTGCTGTCCCTCTTTGTTCAGTATCCCCTAGATCTCAAAGTCCATCCATTAATTTGAAAAGTTTGGCAAAAAACAAAACAACAAAACACCACAACACCGAACACTGTTTTAGCCTTCAACCTGTTCACTCTTACTTGGTACACTATTTGTTCATTCTTATTTGGTACACTATTTCTGAGCACAAGTGTACTTTTCTGTTGAGAATATTATATGTATACACATACATACATACATACATACATACATATACACACACACACACACCACCCCAATAGGGATTTTCATCCTGACTTTCCTAAAAGGACAGGTAGGATTGAATTTTATTTTCGGTTTGTTTTTTTCATACAGATAGCAGCAATACACAACAGTAGGGACTTAATAAGATTTACTGAAGGGTGTGTCTTACTTGACAATTGCCTGCAGAACCATTCGCATGTAAGAAGCTTTTTTTGAGGCAAGCATGTCTAGTTTATAATGTTTGGTGTAAGTATGCAAAGATGTCCAGGCTGCTGCTTTGGAAATGTGTTTTGTGATGCCTGGAAGTTGGGATAGCTCTTGTGGAATGAGCTCTAATTCAGGAAGGAGGGGATTTACCAATGGTGTTATAAGCCATTGTAAATGTAGTGGAAAATCTGACTAAGTTTGGATGCCCTTTCCAAATAAATTTGTACAGCCCTTTTAACATCCAGCAACTGAAAATGTTGTTCTTGAGAGTTTGAAGAATTTTGTCAGAAGATACGGTTATATCTTGTTGCACGGGGACAGGAAGAAAAACTTGTTTGTTTGTTTGTTTTAAGGTCATTGCTGCCTGTCTAGTTGGAAAGTTAGGAGGATAATCCCTACTGTTATGTACTGTGGCTAATCCTATGAAATATTTTGTATATATATATATATATATATATATATATATAGCGGTACTTACCTTATCCTCAGCTCATTCCCGTCTCCACGCGAGCCGCATACGATCGCTTATTCTGAGCGGGCCGTGTGTGCCAACCTTAGTGAATGGTCACGTGGCCCGCCTTGTATTAGAAGTGCGCTTGCATCACGAGCGTGCTCTTTTTGGGGGCATAAGCATGATGTGGGCCTATCAAATGTAAAGTAAGGGTATTTAAACTTCCCAAGCCCCATCCACTTAATGTCCTAATGTGGTTTCTGTTTCAGTACCCTTTAGTGCATTCCTTGATCTATGGTGTTTATTATGGTATTGACCTTGGGTTTGTTCCTGACTCTGAGTTTATATTTAACCCTTTCCGGTCTCGTTTGCCCCTCTGACTGATTAACGTGTACCCAACTCTGGCTAGTTCTTGTTTTCGCTGTCCCTCCGTTATCCTGACCTAGGCTTGTCTCTGACTACGCTTTATCTCTGTCTGACGTTTAGTCCTGCAATTCTAAGGCCCGGTAATACATTACATCCTTGTCCCTTGCTAATCTAAACTCTGCGTGTTGGGCTTTTACACCGTGACAATACACACATACACACGTCCAAATTAAGCCCTGCGACTCGGACCGAATACAAGTTTGTCATAAATAAAAGGTTTAGTCTCAAGATTGCACAATTAGGGATTTTTTATGGTCTTGTATTGAAACCAGTAAAAAAAAAAAAAAAAAAAAAAAATTAGGTTGAGTGCCGATATTACCTTTGCTTTGCACTCCTGTCTCCACGGTATTTGCTGCCCTGGTGCTAGTAACTGACCATTTGGTGATTCTGGCGGTGAGTTTGTTTTCTTTCCTGGTGAGGGAGTTGGTTGGTTTTGAAAACAGAAGCATCCATGGGTCTGCTGGGAGGAGCTTTGTTACGACTTGTTCAATCAGTGCGTGGACTTTGGTCCAAAATGGTTTCAGCTTCGGACATAACTATTAGCAGTGTAGATAATTGCCGGATTCATCACCGAGCTTTCAACACAGGTTGTTCGGCTTGCGACCCGTTTTCTGGAGTTTAAGAGGGATGATGTAACATCGAAAGAGTGTCTTAAAGGCTTGCTCTTTGTGGGTGACACATCCTGTCAGGGAGCTAAGGGCTTCACATATCGCCGGCCAGTCACTTGGTTCTTCCAGTGGTCCTATGTCGCGTTCCCATGCCACAATGTAGGTCAGATTGATCTGGGAGATGTTGGTGGTCAATGCTATGTAAAGCTATGAGATTTGATCTGGTTGTGTCGGTGCGTCAAAGCATTGCCTTTCAAAGGGGGTCGGCGGTGCTGTGTCGGCTTGTTTGATCATGGGTGTGTAAGCTAGGTCCCGGAGTTTTAGGAATCTGAAATAGTCGGAGGTTTGCAGAGTTTCTTGGGCTGGTAGGTCAGAGTATTTGATGATATTACCCTGGCGATATAGGTGTAATAGTCTGGAGATGTCTCTTTGGTCGAAGCTGTGGAAGTGCTTCAGGACCATACCAGGTGGGAACAGTTTGTCACAGTAACTAGGTGTGACAGGGGAAGGAAGGATGTCACGTCGAATTTGCTTTTAAGTTTGTCACATAGGGAAAGAGTGTGGGTGATTGCTGGAGAGGTAGGCGTTGGGAAAGGTTGGTGTTCCACATGTAGGATATGGGAAGATTCCATCCCACGATGTTGTGTTCTAGGTCCACCCATCTCTTTTTTTTCCTGGTGAGGTGTGCCATTGCTCAATATGTGCCAGCTGCGCACAATGGTAATAGTGGGTGAAATTGGGGAGTCCAGAGCCGCCTTGTGGCTTTGGGACGTACATAGTTGATCTGCGGATCTTTGGCTTGCCCTTTTTCCAGATGAATTTGTCTATGGCAGCCTGCAGGTTTTTGAAATCAGTGTGTACTAGGGGCATTGGCAGTGTCTGGAAGAGGTATAGGAAGCTAGGCAACAGGTTCATCTTTATTGTGGTTACTCGCCCCAACCAGGACAGGCCCAGTGAGTGCCATCTCTGCAGATCCGCCAGGGCAGTATCTAGGAGCGGTTCCTGAAGGTACGGTGATAGGCGGATGCCTAAGTATGTAATGGCTGTCATGGATTTTTTGAATGGGAATGTTGTGCAGATCTAGGGGAGTAAAGTGTCATCCAGGGCCAGGGCTCCGACTTAGTTAGGTTAATCTTGTACCTAGTGATAGTTGCGTATTCCATGATTAAGGTCAGCGTGGCTCTGATGGAGGGTACAGCATTTGACAGGGTGAGAAGAACGTCATCTGCGTAAGCCGCCACTTTGATAGAGTTCCGCCTTATCTGGATGCCTTGGATGTCCGGGTGGTTGAGTATGGTCTGGAGAAGCGGTTCCAAGGATATGGTCAAGAGCAGGGGTGAGAGAGGGCACCCCTGTCTAATGCCATTCTGGATTGTGAAGGGAGGGGCTGCAATGTTGAGTAGCAGGAGGTGAACCTCGGTGTGGTCGTATAGCGATGTGAGCATGTTGATGAAGGTTCGTGGAAAACCGACGTGTGTCAGTACCCGGAATAAGAAGGGCCATAAAAGAGGGTATTTGGTGGTGGTGGGCATACCAGATGGTGTTGATTGCTCTGCAAGTATTATCTTCACCCTGTCATCTGGGTATAAAGTCAATATGATCCAGATGGATCAGATTAGGGAGGTATGAATAAAGTCAGCTGGTCAGTGCTTTGGTTATGATTTTGAAATCGATGTTTAACCCCTTAATGACACATGACATGTGTGACATGTCATGATTCCCTTTTATGCCAGAAGTTTGGTCCTTAAGGGGTTAAAAGTGAGATTGGCCGGTAGAGTTCTGGTTCGAGGTGGTCTTTTCCGGGTTTCATGAGTAAGCACACAGTAAGCATGTCTTGGGGAAGGAGAGTGCCTCGGAGAAGGGAGTTGAATACTTTACATATGTGTGGCATAAGGAGGTCTGGGAAGGTTTTGTAATACAGTGCTGTAAAGCCGTCTGGGTCTGGGCTTTTCAGTGGCTTTAGGGATTTTAGGACTTGCGCTATTTCTTCCGCTTCCACCGGGGATGCCAGTACTGTAATAGTTTAGTAATAGTAGCGAGGGTAGCTGAAGTGGTGCCAGGAAAGAGTTGATGGGGCTCATCATCGCGGTGATTCGTATCGAGAGGCCTGGTGGGTGATTGTACAGATCTGTGTAGTATTATAGGAAGATTTGGGTTATGTTGTCCGGGTGATTTGTGATCTCTCTGTTTGCATTTGGATTTTTAGAGATTTTCTTTGCTTCTTGCCAGGTTTGAGGGCAGTGAGCGAGGAGGGAGTAAACTTTGTTGCCCTTCTCATTAAATTTTTGTTTGGACCACATTAGGGTTTTGGAGATGTCCGTTGCGGTCAGGGACTTGAAGAGGTCTCAGGTTGCAGTGAGTTGGGAGTGTAAGTGATCTAAGTTTGTGGGTTTGTATCTATAATTTATGAGTGTATATAGCATGTAACAAATGAGTACACTATATAATATTTGTATTCATTATGTCTTTTTGACGTTGCACATTTGTATTATTCGGGTATTATTTATTCACATATTTAGGTTATTTAGATATGGACTTTTTGGTGATTTGCAATCAATATATTTGGAACACATTGGTTTTCTGTACCTATTTTTTGGTGGTGTTGTGGAACACTTTTGCTTGCTATTCGACAAACCATATATCCCAATTGTGTTTACTGGGATAATTACACAATATATAAAATAACAAAAAATGGAACTCAACAGTGTTCATTATTACACAAAAAAGTGTTGTAAACAAATCAAATAAGGATAAATAAATGTCTATACATACGGCAACATTTCCGCAGGTCTGGAAGGCAGTAAACATAAGCATGAAAGCAAACCCCAGTATGAGGATGTTAAACAGTTTTGTGCGTTCAGGAGTCATGGCTGAATGTTATTAGTTGGTTTTCAATGGAGAAGTAGAATTCCCTTGATTTCTAGCCTTAGAACATCTGATCCTAAAGAAAGTAAAGGAGAGAAAAATTAAAATGATTTGCAGCTTTGAATACCAGAAATTTGTTGCATTTAAGTTAAGGGGATACTCTAAGCACTGAATCAACTTTCCCTTCATAAAGCCGTTTTGTAAACAAGGAAAAAAAAAATGTACAAAAAAAAAAAAAAACTTGTGTGCTGGCTAGAACTGTTTTTTCCCGTACGCAGCTACAAAAAAATAAAGAGAGAAAAATAGGTAGCAAGAGAGGTGAGAACGGGCAACAGCTCAATTAGCCTGCCCTTCGGTGGTTCTCCACTCAGATCTCAAGCTGTGCCATTACAGAGGGAACATCTCTGAAGCATATCAGACTAGTCTTGTCTCTCTTTAAGTGTAAAGGGTAATCCATACGTGTATTGGCTATACCTCACTGATGATACCTTACAAGGTTGAAACGATCGTCTAGGGTTGCCGTATTTCTCGTGCAGAGGGAACTTGCTGGCATTTCAGATCTGGACTGCCCATATGGGAGGCACCAGTCTGATATGCTTCAGAGATGTTCTCTCTGTAATGGCAAAACTTGAGCTAAAACGAGCTTGAGATCTGAGCGGGGACCCACCGAAGGGCAGGCTATTTGAGCTGTTGTTCCGTCCTCACCTCTCTTGCTACCCCTTTTTCTTCTCTAAAAAAAAAAAAAAAAAAAGAAGTTTAGATAGATGTATTGCACTATATAACCAATACAATGTGCTGTGGACTGTAAGGTGCTCAAATTGCCTTTATACCAACGTTGATCACTTAGCTTGTTTGAAGTGGTCATGGTGCTTAGAGTTTGTATGTGCAGTGTTTTCATAGTGAAATCCTGCAACACATGAATTAACCCCCTTGCTGCTAGAGGTCTAACTCTTACTAGGGAAACATCATTGGTGTATCATTAGCCAGCGCAAAACTCTGCTAATGAAAATGTTGTGCATATTTCAATAAAACAGAGCTGCATTCAATGGCTGAGCGCAGTCAGCTGATGCTCTCAGCCAACGAATGGCAAAAGCATCAGGCTTTTGCAGAAGGTGGATTTTGTCACAATCAGAAGTGAGGACCCTCTGCCTCCAAGGGGACCATGATAAATGGGCAAATCATTGCAAAACAGTTTGCCCCATTATCGGTAAATAGGTCCAGAGTACTACTGACATCATAGCCACTACACTTTTAAGGTCTATTACGAGCAGGGGAGCCAATCTGTGCTTTGAGATATGCAAATAATTTGATAATTCCTGTGTCTCATAACATTTACGTTGTTTTTTTTCCTTTCTTAATAACATTGCAACTGCACTAATATTGAATGCATTAAATAAGAGTTTTTTTTACTTGATAGCTTCCCTTTAATATTAGTGCAAATACTGTTTCCTTTGCATTCATTTAAAATAATTTATTAGTTGCGAATGTGGGCATTTTCACTCTATTGAAATTTAATTATATGCTTAATAAAATGAAGACTACAAAAAGATAATAAAAACTAAAGGAAAAAAAGGTTACCTGCGCACTATTCGAAATCCCTGTGCATATTTATATAAATTTAGGTTTTTAGTTTACCTCCAATGGCCATAAGATGTAAGCTCACCTGCCACGTCAAGGCAAACCTATTAGGTGGGTCGTACATTAACAATTCACATTGCTTGCTTCAGCTTCAGGCAAAAAATATCTCTAAAGAGACAGAGTGGAGTATTTTCTTTTAAACCCCTACTTATTTATTATCCCTTAATAGGGAATACATGGGATGGGCGGCAGCACTGTAACATGGCTTTGTGATACAAACGCAAATACAAACACAAAAATAAGTCCTGCGCTCAAACTCCCACTACTCCTGGGCGGCAGTGACCATGACCATAGCACACATCAGCCCCCAAAAAGTTAATATTTAAAAGAATACTCCATTCCCCATAACAACTTAATTTCATTTAAGTTGCTATAGAGTCATGAGTGTCCAGCTGCCATCTGAGCTCACCTCAGAGTCTATCACAGCTGCCCTAAAACATCCTCACATTGCAGCACAAAAAGGACTGCAGGGCAGTTTTGGCTGTATGGCACGGAGGGCAGTTTTGACAGGTGCCGGCAGGGCCGGTGCAAGGATTTCTGCTGCCCTAGTCAGTCAAAGATCCATTTTGCCACTCCCTCGTGTCACTCACTCACTCACTGACAGACACACACTCAATCAGAGACAGTCACAAACACACAAGCACTCACACTCAATGACAGACACACAAGCACACTCACTGACAGATATACAGACACGCCTTGAGGATCAGCCCGTCGCTGGGGGCAGCTCAAGAGCCACTCGCATAGTGCTGCGGCCCCAGACAGGGGCAGCCCACCAGGAAACATCCCGGTGAGCGCCTCCAGCAGGCGAATGGGTGCAGGAGTCACAAGTCTTGAAGGTAAGACAGCACCTGGACACTCCTGCCACCATAACAACATCAATAAGCTGAAGTTGCTATGGGAGTGAGAGTACTCCTTTAAGAAACAGTGTAAATAAGACGGAAAAGTAAATGCCGCATGCGTAAATGACACCAAATTGCAAAATTACTGTATAAATCAGCAGGAGATTATTGCCAACCAATTTAACAAACCAACGTTACCAATATCTAATGTTTAAAAGGATCCCTATAGTGTCAGGAAAACAAACTAATTTCCCTGACACTTTAGCATCCTTAGGACCCCCCACCCACAGGGTCCCCCTCCCTTGGCGATGAAGGGGTTAAAACCCCTTCAGCCACTTACCTTTATCCAGCGCCGGGCTCCCTCGGCACTGGTAACCTCTCCTCCCCCGCCAACGTCAGCTCCCGAGTGGAGCGGAATGCGCATGCATGGCAAGAGCCGCGCACGCATTCAAACAGTCCATAGGAAAACATTTCTCAATGCTTTCCTATGGACGTTCTGCACACTGGATGCGAACTTTACATCCAGCGTCGCAGAAGCGCCTCTAGCGGCTGTCAGGAAGACAGACACTAGAGGTTGGATTAACCCTGCAATGTAAACATAATGTAAAATTTGGGGACTTAGCACCCAGACAACTTCATTGAGCTGAAGTGGTCTGGGTGACTATAGTGTCCCTTTAAAACTTGAATCTTAGAAATTTAGAATTTCTTATAAACTGCTTTGATTATAGCCTGCAGGAACCTTCTGTGTTTGATGAAAGAGAAACTCTGAAAAGTTTTATGTGTGAAGAGTGTGTCCATTTTTTCATTTTACAAAAAGTGCGGATTTCAATAGAAATTTGCACTTTTATAAATTTACATAATGTAAAAATACACCCGCCTAGCGTTCAATTATATAGCAGGTCCAGTTACTTCCTGGTTTGGTTAGCTCAGATGAGCTAAACTCAATAGGCAGCATTTGCCCAGAGCATCTCTGCCTTGCAAATAATTCTCATTGAGCTGCATTGGGAAGTCTGTGATTGGACAGCCACAGGAAGTCTGGGCGGAGTTAGAAGGGAGAGGCAGCAGACAAAAGATCTGCAGGTTTTGCAAGCTGATTTTATATATACACCCAATGGAGAAAAAAAATGCATAATTAAAAACAAAGTTTTTATTTGTGGTGTTTCTACTAAACATTGATTATTTTGTATTTGTGCTCTGAAGTGTCTCATTAAAGTTCACTTTACAGCGCAGGAGATAAAATTAAATAAATAAAAATTCTAAAGTAAATGTAGAACCGGATAGAAAACTAAAACTATTAATTTTGTTTTCAAGCTGAAAGTGTGAGTCACATGCAGCAGGTGTGACTAGGGCTGCATAAACAACATGATTTAACTCCTAAATGACAGAACAGAGCAAACAGAGGTATGATCTATTTAAGCTAAAGTTGTTTTGGTGCCTATGGTATCACTTTAACAGATGGATGCTGCTAGGGTTGTGATATCAGATACCCCTGCAATCTCCATCAGTAAGGAACATTCGCAGAATTTTGTCATGCTTAAAGGAAAACTCCAGGAACCATAACAACTTCATTGAAATTAAGTTGTTATTGTGCCAGGAAGTGTCTGGCATCAGCTAACCTTAAACCTCCACACAAATAATTTAACCCCAAAGTCCAGTTCCAGTATCCAGTGCGCAATCGCTGGGCCCCCTGTCCTTCAGCTGCTCAGAATTTTGAAAGAGGAAGCTTCATCCAGAGGTGCCGCTGTACATTTCTCAATAGGTTTTATGAATGGGGATCTACTCATTGGCTTAGAGCGCCAGCAGACGCTTTTTAGCCAATCAGCAGCGTCCCTAACCGAGGATTCCTCCTTCAAGATTCTGATTAGTGGAAGGCCAGGGGGCAGAGCAATCGGGTGCTGGAATTCCAGGTTAAACAGTTCATGAACAGTTTAACTTTTAAAGTCAAGCTGATGCCAGTGACCTCCTGGCACCATAACAACTTCATTCCAAATAGACACACACTCTGTTTCCTTACACTACATTTCTCTCATATCACTCGGTGATCACTTGTAAACACCTCCAAAGACTCACATGGTCAATCCTTGATACTGTACTCCTGAGAAAGCAGGCTACCAGCACATGCACAAACCCACACAGTGCTTTACTAGCACAGACCCTGCAGTTTTGTGCCAACAGACATCCCAAAACACAAAAATAATAGTGTGAGGCTGCAGTCCACAACTCCTCCATACTAGTGTGCCAGGAGGCAATTGCTCACCTGCCCTGCCATATAGGTTTTAACACAGTAAGTAATGCTCTGCCAACCAGGACCAATGTTTCCTCTAAGCAAAATGGGCATATTTCCAAAGTTTACCCTCTCAAGGGCTTAAACTTATTCACAGCGACACATTACAATGTTTCACCTAAAGATGAAGAGATGGCAGGGATTAATAATTAGTAGTTATTTAATTCAGCATAGCAGTTGTTTGTTTATAATATATGCTAATAATACAATTTTAAGACTCCTGTGTGCAAATATTTTATTCTAGTGCCAAGTATAAATCACTTATAAGCATACAAATCCTGCTTGCCTTATATAACACAAGCATATATCTTTCTGATAGAAAACCCATATTTATATCCTCAAGGGGAAGCACAATAATTCTATCATTGGCCGTTAAGGGGTTAATCAGAGTTAATTGAACCTGTGTCTGCAAAGACAACATGCACTTTTTCACAGCAAAAAAATTTTACAAAATTGTTGACAAATCTATGTATTCACAATTAAATAGAATCTTAAGGACTAGTGATTTAAATCAAAAGTATACCAGTAATTATTTAAGTCAAAAATATAGAGGTCGTGGGAACTGAACAAGGAAATTAAACATTTAGGACAAATTAGCCAAATTGAAAAATTATTCAACTCCACAATTCCTAGTTAATGAATAACCTTGGCTGTGTTTACTGTCCCCTAGCAAACAATGCTTCCTAGAATGTGATGTGCCTGTTCTCCACCCAATTTTTATTTTTTATTTTTTTTAAAAGGAGCAAATTGGCTTATGAAAGTCTACGTAAGGAAAACATAGAAATAGAAATGCAGCATTAGAACAGGACAGACAAAAAAGTGACAAAACACAAGTACCAAACTCAACATTTATGAAGCAAATGTAGTGTCTGTTTCTCTATAAGGGCTACAGTGACTGATTAAACCAATATATCACCATGGATGTCCTAACCCTTTCTCTGACAGTGGCTGTCATTACTGGATTTACCTTTTTTCCCAAGTAGGTCAGGTCTAGTTACTACTCCAAGAATGCAGCCTTCTCCACCACCCTGGATAAAATTCTAAGTTTCCCTGTTTGTAGTCCAGGATGGTTTGCAGTCAGCTGATCTGTTCAGACACAGCATTTCTCAGACCTCTGGTAGGAGTCAGCTGACACAGGAGGAGTTTCATAATGCATTGTAGGAAAAAGGAAGGGGGTAGATTTCTGAATGGAGGAAGCATATATGAGCAATATGCTGTGGTTTTCATTTAAAGACAGTGCTAGCTAATATTTTCACACTGTAGTTGCTGTGAACAACGTTTACTATGACTCCCAGCCAGCATGTGAGGATAGCTGAGTGTGAAGAAAAATGCATTGTAATAAACTTATATGCTAAACTGACCCATTAGATATGCGGCTTTTTGGAATTTTTGCAACAAAAAAAACGAAATGGAATCCATGGAACGTTTATCAACGCTAATTGATGGAACCTGAGCTATTTTCACAGGTCAAATATGAGTAGCATGTAAAACATCAAAATTCTATTATACTCACATCACCATGTGCACAGGAACTACAGTGGTCAACTACGTCTCCCAGAAACCACCGCGTGTTGGCCACATCATGTTCCGCGGAAGGGAGGTGCTCTAGTCACATGTACTTCCCGGTTCAATGCATTTTGGACATGAAATGATTTCTGTTCCAATAAAATCAAAGTAAACAAGACAAAATACGTTGTAAGCTTCAAAGGTTGCATTTAGAAATCAATCACATAATTAAACAGATAAGCACGCACGGGAGAAAAATATTTCACAGATACAGTCAGGCACAATATTAAATAGGGCTAAAAAAAAAAAACATTTACATGTTTATAGAGTAAACTGGCTACTGTAACTTGTAGGCATAATTACTGTTTGACCTCTCACTATAAATTGGCCTAAAACTTGCAATAGCTTTGTCATTGCTGCACAGTGTCAAATAGCAAATTAACCTTTACCACATGTGTTCCCCAAGTACAGCAGCAGATTGTAAAATTAAAAGTAACTGGGATTATAGCTCTTTTCTATGGAATGACAGGTGAATGACACAATAAAATGCCTATATAGTATAATGGGAAGCAATATGTGACTTGGAATCTGAATCGTGAAACATATCAAGTAAATCTTTTGCTGGCATACTCTCCATGTTCAGTGGCGATTTTTAAAATTGAGATTAAGTGGGATTATCATTGTGTTCTATGGAATGACGAGGGTAATTAACAGAAGGAAATGCCCATAGAGTATAATAGAGAAAATTTATGACAAATTTACTGTAATTTTCTTTTCCTGGCTATTTCTCATGGCAGCATCACTTATGGGTAGCTTCTCCCTTAGCAGTCACAGGTCAGGAATTAATTAGATTAATTAGACTGATGGGTCTAATACACCTCAGTCCAATTATAAAGGTGAAAAATAAAAGAATGGGAACACTGATGCTGCCATGAGAAATAGCCAGGAAAAGAAAATTACGGTAAATTTGTCATAAATTTTCTCTGTTCCTGGCTAATCATGGCAGCATCACTTATGGGTAATACCCAAGCTCACAGAAATACAGGGTGGGCAAAACAAACGGAAAAGGACACCAAACAGACTCTTATGCTGCAAAGAAATTTAATATCAATGGGACAAAGAAACTGTAGACAGAACACTCTTCTCAAAGGAGGTGGAAGGAGAGTCCACATCCAGTTTGTAGTGTTTTAAGAACATCATCGGGGAAGACCAGGTGGCTGCCCTGCAAATATCATCGCATGGAACCTCTGCCCAATTAGCCCATGAAGTCAACAATGCTCTGGTAGAATGAGTTCTTATCTTCATTGGAGGAGATCGACCTTTAGAGATATACGCTTTCCTGATCACTAGCGAAATCCAACGTTTCAATGTAGATAAAGAGGCCGCCTCACCTCTCCTGGCTCCTGAAGGTAAAACGAAGAGTTGGTCAGTTTTTCTGTAAGACTCAGAACGAGCAAGGTACATAGACAGGCAGTTCATGACATCCAAACTTTGGCACCTAACCTCCTCTTGCGAAGAAGGATTGGGGTAGAACAATGCAAGGACCACTTCTTGAGAGAGATGAAACTGAGAGACCACTTTAGGAAGAAACTCAGGTCTTGGTCTCAGACACACCATATCATGATATAACTGTAGACAAGATGATGTGGTACAAAAAGGTTTTTATCTCTGAAATTCTTCTTGCGGAAGTAATTGCCACCAAAAACAAAGTTTTGTACGTCAGGAGGGTAGCATCCAGACTCTCAAGAGAAACGAACAGATCCTCAGTTAGATAATTGAGAACCAGCGGAAGGTCCCAAGGAGGGGTTGCAGATCTGGAAGGAGGTCTCAACCTGAAAGCTGCCTTGAAGAACCTGGAGATCAAAGGATCCGAAGTCCATGAAAGAGCTGAAAGAGCCGAAGACTGAACCTTAAGAGTGCTGAGGCTAAGGCCCTTATCTAGACCTTCTTGTAGGAACTCCAAGATCTGAGTATTGTGAGGATGCAGGAAGTCAACATTCTTTGCCAAAGCACATTCCTGAAACACATTCCAGATCCTATGGTAGCATGAGGAAGTAGAAGCTTTCCTTGACTGCAAAAAGGGTATTGACCACTGCTTCTGATAGATTGTTAAAGTCTTTCTTTTTCAAGACCCATACCCCCAATTTGAGGTGTTCCGGATGACGATGGAATATTGGGCCCTGTGTTAGCAGATCCTCCATAAAAGGAAGAGGCCAAGGCTGTTCCTGGCTCATCATAGATAATAGGGGAAACCACGGCCTCCGAGGCCAAATCGGAATTATGGCAATAACCTTTTTTCCTTCCTAAAAAACCTTCCGCAGGAACCTGGGTATCATGGGTAGGGGAGGGAACGCATACCCCAGATCGAATGACCAAGGAAGAGAGAGAGCATCCTGGCCCATTGCCTGACTGTCCGGGTGGAGGGAGAAGTAATTCTCCACCTGATGATTCTGGGAGGACGCCATCAGGTCAATCTGGGGCCTGCCCCACCAATGGACAATCCATGCGAAGACTGCCGGGTGAAGTTTCCATTCTCCTGGAAGAATTTCTGTTCTGCTGAGGAAGTCCACAGTCACGTTCTCTGAACCTGGAAGATAGATCACCTTAAGACCGTAGAGATTGTTCATGGCCATCATCATTAAGGGAGCTAGTTCCTTCAAGAGCAACCTGCTTCTTGTGCCTCCTTGGTTGTTCACATATGAAGCAACCGCTCGGTTGTCCTTTTTGATCAACACCCAAGAATTTTTGATCCTTGGTAGGAATACCAAGATGGCTTTGGAAACAGCTCTCAGTTCTCTTAGATTGGAGTGTAGCTGACTCTCTTCTCGGTTCCACTTCCCTTGGGTCTATGTGGATTTGAAGTGGGCACCCCATCCAGAAGAACTGGCATCTGTCGTAATAACGTTCCATGGAGGCTCCTCCAAATTCTTCTTGCTCTTCAACCCTTCAACCCTTTCCTCACTGGCAGGGGCAGAGGTATCCTTTGCTCCCCTCTGTCGAACTGGAGGTAGCAGCTCTGGACAGGACGAAACTTCCACTGGGCCCACTTTACTAACCCTATCGTTAATGTCAAAGAACCCAGGAGACTCATGACTTTCCTTGCCGAGGCAATTTTGAAACCTTGAAGCTTCTCGATTTTGCTTCTGAGCTTTATGACCCTTTCTGGAGACAGGAATACGTGGGCAGAGATGGTGTTTATCACTGCTCCGTGAAATACGATCATTTGAGATGGAATTAGGGAGCTTTTCTCTACGTTCAGAAGCCAACCGTGGTCTTGAAGAATGTTCATTGCCACCAAAGTATGATGAGCCACTATCCTTTGAGATGGACCTATGATGAGGATGTCGTCCAAGTAATGGAAGATCTCGAGACCTCTCACCCTTATGAAGGCAATCAAAGAAACAAGCACTTTTGAAAACATTCTTGGTGCCAAGCTGAGACCAAACGACAGTCCTCGGAACTAAAAGTGTCTTCCTAGTGCCCAGAACCGGAGAAACTGCATATGATCGTGGTTTATAGGGATTTGGTAGTAGGCGTCCCTTAAGTCTATAGAGGTCATCCAGTCTCCTCTTTTGATGCTTTTTAGGATGGTCTGTAAAGATTCAATTTTGAACGTTCTCACGTTGAGCATGGAGTTTATACCTTTCAAGTTCAGGATGAGACGCCACTTTCCATGGGGTTTTGGAGCCAAGAACACTGTGGAGTAAACCCCCTGGAACCTTTCCTGTTTTGGAACTTCTTCTTCCACTTTCTGTTCCAGAAGAGTGGAAATGCAGGCCCTCATGGCCCTTCGTTTGATACCTGCCGACACCTTTGATTTTTTGAAGAAAGCTGTTTTTGGGAGAGAAGAAAATTCTATCCTGTAACCCTCTCTTATGATGGATTTGACCCACGCGTCCGTAATATTTGCGTCCCACCCCGGGTAAAAGAACTTCAGTTTTCCACCCACAGTCCCCAGATGGGCCTGAAGACCTTCAGAAGTTCTTCCCAGAGGTTCTGGCTCCTCTTCCTCTGGAAGCCTTATTGGATGAAGAGTGCGAGAAGGATTTCCACAAAGAATTTCTGGAATACTCCCTTCCCGGTTTATAGCTTCTGCTGTCCCGAAAGGACCGATCCTTGAAGCGCTTAGTCTTCCAAGAGGAGGAAAAACTCTTTCTGCTTACTTGAGGGAAAATGCTTTTTTACCATCAGCAGCTTTTTGAATAGCATCCTCCAGAATCTTGCCAAATAGGAGATCCCCCTGGAATGAAAGGCCACACAAGGACGCCTTAGAGGCATAGTCCGTGTAGCGGAGATGCAATATTCCCCAGGTTATCTCCGCTTATAATCCAAGTGAGGCTCAGGAACAAGTAAATAGTAAATCCACAGGAAAGGTTTCCAGCAGGTAAAATAACAGCAATATCCCAACAGCAATCCCAATAACTGGACGACACACAGTTTCAGGAGCAGAACTGAAAGGTTTAATCCACAGTGTCCTTTTAAAGCATGCTCCCATGCAAGGGAGGGATTTACAATCATTAGTACAGTAGCCAATCCTGTCCTGGTAACCTCCCACCCATCTCCTCCCCTCAGCTTGCATCATAATCCCCTTATCCAGGCTAGCAATTCCCCTCGTTTCTGGATGTACCCCTAAACGTAGGGGTACCCCTTTAAATCCTACATCCCTGGATAACCCTGATCTGGGTGAACAACATATCCAAAAATCACCCAGATCAGACCAGGGGTTCGGGAAATGTATGGAGGGAATAAAATGACCGACCGCACTAACTGAGACAGCCGAATGTGGTTCCATGCGAATGGGCCCTGCGGTCGGTCCTGGAATAAGGGAATAAACTACACGAAAGCCTCTAGCTATAGAGGCTAGGGAGGGTTCGCCTGAATCCCCTCGTTCAGTTCTTTCTATCTACCGAACGAGGGGCCGTTCGGTAGTTAGGAACCGAACGGACCGGGCTTGTGGAGGTTTCAGCGGTGTTCGCCTAGTCGAGTGTCCGATTTGAGTTCCAGACACTCGACGGCAAAACACCGCTGTTCGGGAGTTTTAAAATGGCCGCCCCACGTGTTCGTTTGTCGAATGGCGGCCACCCCCGAGAACAAAGGACGGCTACTTAACTTGTCAATTACCCGTTCGCAACAATGTTGCAACGGGTAATTGAGGACACACTTCACACAGGGGAGGTCTGATTGTTCGGTAGTTTCATTCGAATAAACTAAGGGAATGAAACTACCGAACAATCAGAGGAATACAATACTTTTAAAAACATAACAACAGCAGATCACACGAATGCAGTTATTCACAATATATTTGCAGGACAGCCCAGTGCCATCCGCTACAGTCCGCTCCCCACGAATGAAGCCATAAAGCCCTTCTAGAGGCCACAGAGAGAGCCATACTTTTGGCAATCATGCGAGTGATGTTCAGGGAGGCTTCTGAACAAAAATCAGTGGCAAGGCTAATGTCCTTGAGACTCTCTAAGAGATGTTCCCTACGGACACCCCGATCAATGTGCTCCTCCAAATTGGTGAGCCATACTCTTAAGGCCCTGGAGAGAGTGGTTAGTGCCACTGCCGGATGGAGGGCGGAACCCAGCGCCAAATAGGCTTTTATGAGATCCCCATCCATACGCTTCTCCATAGGCTCTCTAAGATACGCCATGGAATCAATGGGAAGCATAGTTTTCTTTAAAACATGAATCACCGCAGCGTCAATTTTGGGAACTGAATTCCATAAGTTCCAGTCCATCGCAGAGTAAGGATAAATCCTTGAGAATTTATTTTTCAAGGTGGACTTCCTTTCTGGCTTGTTCCATTCTTGGAGGATCATATCCCTGATCGAGGAATGTACCGGGAAAGTAGGTCTATTTGGTTTTAGGTCCTCAAAGAAACGGTCAGCCTCTCTCCATTCAGACTTTTCCTCTGTGAGACCAAGAGTGTCCCTGAGAAGGGTAATAAGTCTATCAATAGACTTTGAGTCAAGAGACCTGGAGGTATAGTCCACTTCCTCCTCATCCTCTGAGACCTCCTACAGGTCAGGGTCTTCTGCAGAGCTGGAAGAATGAGGTTCTGCTCTTCGTCTCTTGCTCGGACCACAAGGCACTGTGGTAGACTTAAAGCCCTCAGCAATAGCTTGGGAAATCCAGAGTTTAAGGTCATCCTGTGGAGAAACCCTATTGGGAACATCCGCCACTTCCAATAAGCAATCCCTGCAGAGGTTTCTTCCTTGCGGTGCAGGTGACGAACAGTTAATGCAGTTATTGTTTTTTTTCTCTTGATTTCCTTGCCGGAGAATACAAATGTCTGCTGGGGCTGAAACAAAGCCTTATATAAACATATATTACAATCTCAATTTGACACTCTTTTTAACCCCCCTCCTCCCGCCAACCTCCAATCACAACAAAAAATTACTCACCTATGTTTTCTAGAGAGGGATCTTGCAGAGGTAGAGGCGGAATCCATACTAAAAAGGAGAATTGAAGGAAAGTAAAACACATGTCCCAGTAATAAAAAAAAAGACTGCAGCAGACTGACCACCAAATGCCCAAAACAAGAAAACACAAGAAGAAACAAGGAATCCTACCTAATAACGACAAAACCACTCCAGGCAGCCAAGCACAGAGCAAAGGAGCAGAATCTGAGCACACAGGATCAACTTCTCTCAACCAACAGCTGACTCAGCGAGCAGGCAGAGAACCAGGATCCCCAAGTTTAAATAGCGTCAGGGAAACTGCCGATATGCGCATGCGCAGACTGCTGGAAAGCACGCTGTGCATTCCAAACGCCTGCGGACGAAATACACATCACTTCCGGTTTCGTCGGCCCGGCCGCGACATCACTTCTGCCTGCTGGAACGCACACTGCGTTCCAGCCAATAACGCTGGCCTCTCCAGAAACCCACAGGAAACAATAGAGAGCACCCCAGCCACAGCAGAGAGGGAATCCACCCTCAGGAAAGACCACTAAGCACAAGTAAGCTCACAGGATCTCCCCACAGGAGGACCCCCTTCAGTATTGATCCCAAACACTTCCACCAATGCTGGGGGGTGATATTTAGTCCCCAATTACTAGGGGCAAGTCAAACAACAAGCAAATTTTTAAGGAGAACCAACCCCATTATCCAATAACCTGTAGCCGTGTCTCCCTCAGAACACCAATCTAAATCCCACGCAGCAGTCCAGTACATACACTGAACCTGACCCAGGTAGTCCTGCTCATGCAGGCTGTTTACTGGGTCCTTCAAATGAAGAGAGGCTGAACTTAATTTGGAACGAACCCACAACAAACGCAGGAAGGTGGCCATAAAATAAAATGTAAAAAGTCCTGTAGAACTTGCTAAGGACAGTAAAAAAGACTAAGGTGTAAGGGGAGGAGGCACTCTTTATACCCATCAGTCTAATTAAACTAATTAATTCCTGTCCTGTGATTGCTAAGGGAGGGGCTACCCATAAGTGATGCTGCCATGATTAGCCAGGAATGGGAAGTAAAATGTAACCTCATTATCATGCAAACACACCCCTGTTTTAACACACTTAAATTATATACAAACACCCTTGCATTCAAACACCAACACTACCACAAAAGCAGCATATCTGCATTTAAAAGCCAGCACTTCATACAAAAACACCCCTGCATTCACACACTACACATAAGTACACCA